TGCTTAGTGTATGGTTCTTACCTTTTTGGGAACGACCCATTTATCAAGACAGTTTAAAGCAGTAGTAGCTGATCGAATGACAAAACCAAGCTCATCTCTAAAAGCTTCAGTACTATGTTTGCCCAAATCTTGAAACAGAACATCACACATCTTGTCTTCGTTGTCTTTAACCATCTCGATTATAGCTCCAAGCTGTGTCTTCCTCCACTTCACACTCCTTGTCCTCCCGCTCGCAAACGTCTCTCTCATCTCTCTCAAACTCTCCTCCACAGTCTCCTTCATAGCTTCCATGGCTCTCTCTATCAAACTCTCTCTACTATATTCAGAAGCAGAGTTTGGTTGGTTTATTAAAGATATTTGCTTGTAGATGTTTGGTTGCCTCTTTTAGAGCTAGAGTGTTACAAGTTCAAGTTTCAACAGCTTATAGGTGGTGGTTAAAAGTCGAAAAGAAAACTAGTTGGGGAATTATAAGGTTAAATACTAAATAGGTTTGCTGCTATCTTAGGTTTCAAAAGTCTTTATTATGAAGATGGAAGTCCATATCGTTATATTAAATGTTATAGTTGACAGATTTATTAAAATTTCACATGTTAGATATTTTCTATAAATACTTTATATTATATGGATGTATGTGAATCGGTGACATTTATTGATGTGTCGATTGTTTCAACTAAAAAAGTCCCAATGGTCTGGTTAGTGGCACCTACCATTTAATGCGTTCACCGTTCGTAATAAACATATTCATTTTTGTTTTTCATCTTGTCAACTAGTATCAAATTCATATCTATAAACTATAATGTAAAAATGAATGAAAATCGATCAGAGATTCAGAGTTGATACGATTTATATTGTAAATGTGGTTGGGAACTTCAATAAGGTTGCGTTTTAAAACGTCAATAGTAGTACTATTTTAATTAATTTTACAGGTTGTATAGTGAATCGTATTTGGACCAGTAGTAGATCTGTGATTATGTTTATGTAGGTGGTTGGCAAAATAGACATAATTACTTATCCAATCTGAATAAAAAACTAAGATATATGATATGTATGGAGAAAATGATACTATATTGTATATACCATGGTTTCAATTTTTTTTTGTTTTCATTCTTATCTAATGATTCATTACTAAAATGAAGCTCAAACTAATTTTCGAATATATTTGAGATAAGGGATTGAATAAAACACATGTATAATGTACCAGTGTCGTGCCTATAGTTTACGAGAAAATAGTGTAGAAAAATACTACAAAAAGAAAGTGAAAACGACATGTATACAAATGAGGTTACATATTATGGTATAGAAGAGTAATTTTACTAGACCAAAAAAAAAAAAAAAAGAGGAGTAATTTTATAAAATTTAAACTGTAAATAAAAGTTTTTCATTTATCTTTTGCTTCACACTCTTTTTGTCGCAACATATTGTATAAGTTTGAATTTGAATAATGACATAATAACGACATATATACAAATGAGGTTACATATGATGGTATAGAAGAGTAATTTTATAAAATTTAAACTGTAAATGAAAGAGTTTCATTTATCTTGCTTCAAAATAAAACTAAAACATGATTTCACATAAAATAATTGTCATTTCTTTGGTGGATGAACCGTTTACCTGAATGCTCTTTGAAGCATGTTAATCGTGAAAGGAATAGTGTGGCAGATTTTTTATCGAAAAAGGTTTATGAACTTGATTCTGATTTTGTATCTTATAGGAATCCACCAAGTTGGATTATAAATCTTTTGTATTATCTTTTCACAGTTTGAAGTAAAGAAATCAGATGTTAAAAAAAAAATTGTCATTTCTTAACGGTTGCTTCTCTGTCAATAGTGTGTACATGGCAATCGTATTCAAGAACACTAAGCCGATACCCGCGTATACACGCGGATTTTTATATACAAATATTATCATTTGTTTTTACTTTATTGTCATATACAGTATAACAATTTATTTGATTTTTGTTTGAGTTATGTTTTTAGAGATTAAGAAAATGATCTTAATTTTATTTTTATTTTGTTTTTCCCCTATTTCCTCTTTGAGATATTTGTTTGAGCAAAAACTATTATATTTTCTTTCGAATCTATCATGCAAAACTATGAATCTATGATACTATATATATTAGTTTTGTAAACGATATTTTCAATCTGTTCTCGCATATTTTCTCATTTGGTTTTCTAACCCGTAAGTGAAAAGCGCATGCTTTTTATAAATATGATTTCGTGTGAAACTTTGAAAAACGAGGAAGCTGATTATAATATTCCTTCTCCTTTCATATATATATATGATTTGACTGCTTGCATTAAGCGATTCGGCCCATTGGGGCTAATTTGACTACAAGGTTAGTGACTCACTCATATGTTACGCTTTTTATTGCATTAAATTAATAATTAAATTAGAGAAGAAAAAAACTGATAATGCAGTGAAGTACGAGGGGTGTTCCGAGAATCGAACTCGGGACCTCTCGCACCCGAAGCGAGAATCATACCACTAGACCAAACACCCAATTGCTTGACTTTTCGTATATTATATTTATAATCAAAATGTACGTTTTTGTAATTATTTTAGGTATGTGTATATGCTTTATGCTGTTGGTACTAGCCATTTGACTGATATGATTTCGAAATTCTATTAAAATGTATATGTTTGTACTCTCGAGTAAAATGGTTCGATTTTGGATATTATCTTTTTGCTTTTGTAGGATATATATTAAGAGGTTTCTTATAACAAACCTCACACAAATCATGAAAAGGAATTGTCGCCGGCATGGAGAAGCTCCGTCCACTTTCACTCAAATCATCAATCTTCTTGATAAAACTATAAAAAAACAGGTTTACCATATCACAAAGAGATATGCAATATTAAGAAGAGATGTGTGGACCTAAAATGTGGCACCATTTTGACTGGTCAAATAGAAGTGAAAGTGTTCTAGGGGGAGTCGAACTCAAGTTGAAAGAATTTACCTCTTTTTTTTAGTCATTTTACCACTAGACCACTACCACTCGGTAGTGAACGG